TAAATTTGGTTGCTTTAAACTGAGTGAATATTTTAATTATTGGTTTGGATAATTAAACTGACAAAAAATTACCTCTTTCATTCCAAAACAGTGAACATTTTTACTGTTGAGGAATTCTGCAGTTTAGGACAAATCCAAATGGTATTTACAAAGTCGCATTCGCATAGCATGCTTGGTCTTCCCATCAAAAGATTCTTCCTCGTTACTCAATTCGGCTAGTTTGGCACAGTATAACAACCAATACAAACACCTAAATCCCATTACTCCACACGATAAGCTTTTACCAGTCGTTCTTTTACTGATTGCTTTGCTTCTACAGACATTGTATTTACCTTTCGGGCTAATGTGATCCCTACGTTGTTGAGTCCGTGAAATACAAATGTCAATGCCAACCATGTTTCTCTGAAAGCTAACCGTGAACTCTGAAGAAAATGGATTTAGTTTACCAACTACATATGGCTATAGATATCTACCCTGAGAGGGTTATGCTGATGAATGCAGCGATTTATGGCAGATCATTTGTATGCTATTCCATGAAATCTCGTTTCGATTTAGGTAAGATTCCATATCAACATAGGCACTTTGTGTAGCAGTAAAGAATCTCGTCGGCATTACTAGTAAAAATTCGAAAAGTACAAAGGAAATCTAGCTCATTGTTAAAGTCTTGAGATTAATGTAATTGCGCATCAACATGTGGTCAAACCACAGACCGAAACCAATCAAAGTTCATAAAGTCGGGCAAAGTTTAACATTCTGACTTCTATGGCCTACAAAAATCGCATACCGATGTGAAAAACGACTTTTCAAGAGAAGAAGCTATAGTAAACCATGCTATAACGCCCTTAAATGTATAAGATTGACAATAATTAAATCAAGTAAAATCACATGAACCAGGAACTCTGCATAAATACTGATGTCTACACAGAAGGAACTTCACAGTACAAAATGAAGCAAATGTTATTTACGTCGCAAAACGTCCTAAGGAAAAGCAGTAAGGTGGAAATTGAAATATGGCAGAATAAGACGTATTTTGCAGAACAAAGAGAGGAAGTCCCATGGCAATGGGAGTCCATGATCACGTGCAGTATTTAAACAAAAATATGAATGAATAGACTCAAGTATCTTTCATTACATTGGTCAAATAGGTCTGGCTCTTAGGGGTATTACTGACAGCTTGCACAGTGAAGCGTGTTTAGATTATTTTATGCTAAACAAGCTAGCTATATTGAAACCAAGTTAAAGGTATCAGTTTCATTTCCTTTACAATTAACACGCAGCATATAAAACAGCACAATTTAAATGGCCACGTGGGTTTATGTAGTTCACCATCTACACAACAAAGAAGAGTCCTGCAAGAACATGCTGGAAAATCGAATGACTTGCCAGACTGCGGTCATTATGATCATCGAGACTAAGGTATCCAGTACCAGTAAGCTCCTTTGTCTCAACCATCGTGCGCAGTTCCGCAAGTAGGTTCATGTGCTTCGACATATCGGTTGCTAAAACCTAAAATAAGGTATTGCTATTAGGATTAACGAGGTATTCAGGGCAGGTGGTTTAAACCTCGACATTGACAGCCGTAAAGCACGTATGGTGCTCAAGCCTGTATCACATCTCTTCTTAAATTACTTCGTTCATA